AAGCGACAGAGTTTCGTATAAATCTCTCATGCGGGAGCACGAAAATGTGCTTTTACATTATCACATGTTCCGTTGACTTTTGTACACGCTAGAATAATTATAAAATGATTGAGTGGTTTACTGTTTTCTCCGAGCCATTTTAAATTTATTTTACTGAAAAATGAAGCGATAATCCAAATCTGTCCAAACCCAAAATTTTCACGTTGAACGTCATCAACGTATCTTGCTTAAAAGTTAACAAAATAATTTAATCGATAACGTTTTGTTAAGTCATCTAGCGACGAACTATTTTCAAAATTTTAATTACCGACGAAATTTTTCTTTGAGGCGAAAATTCAATTTATCAAGATCACTGGTACAGTTGGCGAATGCTTTCCTGAGTAGTGAGTACCAAGTGATCGATCAATATCGTTCGAGAGACGACAACTGAGGGAGACTCTTCTGCGTTCTTTTCAGCGTCGCGAAGCGCCTTGACGCTCGCAACGCCTGTCTTCTCGCGATTGCACTTTATTCGGGTCGATGCCTTTGAGAAAGGGACAGCGATGAGAAACGAAAGGAGGAGAGACGCGGATCTGGGTTCTGGACCCGGACGCAAAATCACGCTATCAGAAAAACGGAGCTTTTTTCCGCTTTATCTTTTGCAATCTTTCTCAGAGCGACTTTTATGCGTCCGCCGCGACAGATGGAATCGCCGTCACGTCTTTCCCGACTCTTGTCGTTCGTAAAGCTCAGACCGCTTTACTCTTCGCATAGACAAACATATTTCTGTATTCGTACGAAACAACATATACTTTGACGTTCACTGGACGCATTTTTTACAAATGATTTTTAGACAGCGCTGGAAAATCCCGATAAGAGAAACGGATTCCAACTGTACACTCAGAGAAATGGACAATTCGTTTAAAAATTAACAAATGGATAATCCGATATTTTTAATCGGAATTATGAAAAGCCAATCAAGATTAGAATATTGTCCAATCAATGATAGCCGGATATCATTGATAATTGATCGGTTTTTTAATTATTCCGATTGAAAGTGTCGGATTGTCCGTTTGTTAATTTTCGAACGATCATTTAGACCTGGATTTTTCTCTCAGTGTACGCACAAGAATTGAAAACAATACGCTTAACTTTATAATATGTCATCAGCGGATATTCTAATACTAAATGTTTAAACATAATTTAATAGTATTATTTAAAATTATAAAAGAGAATGTAAACTTTTAAGTATAATTACGTTTTCGTTATTGATTAGTGGTACTACGTGGCTCGACGGACAGCTCAAGTTTTTACGTTAAAATCAATAAGTGTAATATATCTATGAAATTGTGACAAATATTGGTCCCCATTTAAATTTTTATTAAGAAAAAATTCAATTTGGTTATATATGAAGTTTCTCTAACGGCTTAATTTAATATCATTCACGTAGAATACGTAGATAATTATGTTGTTTTAGAAAATGTGACACGATGTCATTTTTCTATCGATTTTCGCGACTTTCCAGTTTAATCATTAAACATCTGGGTGATTAAAGGGGTTTAATGACACAGGCACGTATCTGAAAAATTAAACTTTGTTAGTTAGTAGCTTAATGCACCGTAATCTTTTAATTTTCGATACCGGGTAACTTTGTAATTATCGTTCGACTTAAACTTCCACTCTTACAATTAAACGATTACAAACGATTAGATCAAGATAATGACTGGCGTATTTTTCTATACTTTCTTCTTCCGAATATTTGCCTGATATTGTGTAATAGTATATAAATATTGAAGAAAAATGTTTTATAAAAAGTCGCTTCCAAAAATATTCTGTTTATTCGCAGAGAAGGTAAATGACGTTCATAATCGGTACATTTCGAGACAATTATTTTTCCCGTGAAAAACAAACGTGCCATTTTCTCGAAATGTGTCGTTTAATAGCGTTTTCTTGTAACAATTTTATACTTATGTAGCATGATAATGTTCTCAGATGGAGATGTTGCTCACTGGGATATAAATTGTTACGCGAGAAACTTGTAAAATTACAAATACTTTCAAGGTTCAGCGTGACAGGAGCGGTAGAAAGGAGTATGATTAATGACGCGTTGCGGCTACCAGCCCGTAGCGATAATGGCAAAATTTATAGTAAACAGAAACGCGTGTTCGAAATGATCGAATATCATTTGCAATTTCAAGTAACAAGTTGACAAAAATGTCTCGTAGATTGCAGCTGAGATAAATTTCTCTCATACTTCCTGTAAATCTCAGCGTTACAATGCAAACATCACGGAAAATATTTTAATAGCACAAAACACGAAATAAAATGTATAGCGTGATCCTGACTGCGCAATTGCGTTCTTTTTCTTAAATAGATGTTTTTCGATAAATCTAAAAAGGAATGAAATTCCTTGAATTTTTATAAAAATTTAATAAAAACTACATATCGCAACTTGTATCTATTTTAATATTCAATATTTTTGTGTCTATTTTAATATATTCATAATTTCGATTATTAAATTTCAACAATTAATTCGTTAAAATTGAACTTTTCGAAAACCGTGGAATATCTTACTGTTTATTTAATAGTAGTACTTTCGCAGTTAAAGCTATTATTATATTCTCAGTTATTATCTTCATCAATGTTACACAAATTTCTTCGCAATTTCGAAAAATGTTATCAACTGTAGATTAATTATGTAGCAAACGTTCTATCAGTCAAATGAAAAAAAGTAAAACATTTCGCTATCTCTCCGCGTCGTCATTTTTAGACCAATCCGGAAATTTCTTGTATCACTGCCAAACATCCATAGCGTCTCACATTAATGCAAAATCCGTGTTATCTGTATAAAGCAACGGCGAACCCTTCCGGACGAAAATAGCGTGAAACGTATGCATCGCAGTTTTTTTCATTCTCTCGCTAGACCAATGCGTTTTCGTTTTCAATCATCCTTTCGCGCGTCGCGTAGCTAAAGTTCGTCCTAGAATGCAATTAATCTTGAAGAAAAAACAAACATTCTTCGATGACAGAATATTTCACGGAAGAGATTCCTTATGTCTCTACATAAGTCGTTCATCAAAACTACTTATTATCACTAAAAAAAATTTCTTATTAGGAGTTATACATAATGTTTATATTCTTATCCTAAAAGTTTCATCACAAAATGTATAATATTACATTAGTTCTTATTGCTCCCTACGAATACTCGAGCAAACCATTTTAGCCAATAATTACGCTGTACACATATTTCCGTTTTATTTACATTGAGCTAATATATTCTTGATGATTTCGGATAAAATATCAGCGGCTCAAATAAGTTATAACTGTAACTTTATATAATACAAAACCAGATTTATATTTGCTTCATTAGTTCAAGTGACATGCAAAATGAGCATTCGACATATATGCAGCTAATCTTTATCGATGATTGAAATAATATTTTTTTTCTGACAAAAATGTAGAAAATTTAAAATTTTATTACAAAGATATACCTAATGTTAAAAATTGCAATGCGACATAATCGTGATAAAATATGACTTTGCTCTATATTCTTATTTTAAGAAAAAAGTTATTTCTAAATAGATCAAAAGGAAGCTGTAATTAAAATGACATTCAGTGGTTTCAAAACATCTTGCTGGAAAATTACATTTATTAAAGTCATTTATTTAAATCGTTGTTATTTTACCTCGAATCAGAATTTTAGCTTATTGTGAGTATCGTGAGTAAAAGAAAGATATACAAGTACAATAATATTTCCCTGCAAATTTTCAGTACATCACGAAAAGCACACGTTAACAACACGTTCGAGGAATGTGATAATCGCGAGGAACGACGCAGAAAGACAATGAGGACGCTTGCTTGTCGTGAATGTAGATTTGAAATTTGCCTTTGGGAGTGCACAGTTGAAAGTGTGTCGGGAAATAATATATATATATACTCAGTCAAGAGAAACTTTTCTTCTCGAACAAATTACTGGTGCTGCGTGCGGTGCTGCGTCGAAGCGGCACTGCTCTTATACTCTTCTAAAAGTATTTTACTTTAGAAACCGTTCCGGACTTTTGCCACTTACAAAGCCGTGGTTCAGCACGTATTGCCTTGTTACATAATACAGACCTTCTAATAAAGCAAGGTTGAATACTACACAGAATGTTTCGGAATCACTGGGCATTTTTTCATTACGGACAAGACTCATTAAGGATGTGTTTAAAATATAACTAATTATTTTGTAATTACTTCAACATTTGACATATTACAATTCTAGTAATATAAGATTTAGAGACTTTGTCTCATTGTTCATAAATAAAATAAATAAAACCTAAAACAATTATTACAATTTATACTCGCGAATCTTGAAATTGATAATAAATAAGAAATTAAAACATTACCATTTTTCTGGAATTTAAAGTTTGAGAAGTGAATTATTATTAGAATTTGTAATTAAACTTTTCAGGTAAGTTCTACTTATTCTCTATATTACACGTAAATTATAAGAATATTTATATTTGTTTTAATTCCATTTTATGTAGCGTGCATTTAATGCGAGCATTGGCAAGTGCCAGAAATTGAAGGCGGTAATGCCAACTGGCTATTCCAACAGGTCAGATAAATTATCCTCTTCAATGAATTCTGGTCTCTATTAAGATTGCATCTCACGTCGGACCAATTAATTTCTGTCAATGCAAATGAACTGTCGCTGTACTTCTATTGGTCAATTATTACTGCTCTATATTCTTCGTTTATAAAGTATTAGTACTTAATTAATTAATTTAAATACAAATATAGTATTTTTTCAAAATAAGCTTTTTAATATTATAAAAATAATTCGAGTATACGATTTTTAAAATAAAGCTTTTTGAAAGTTTCAACGGTGTAATAATAATATCTTAAATACATTGAGATTTTAATGCGTACTTGATATATTGGTGTGATAAATATATACAAATAAAATACAAAATTTCTAATGTATTTGATGTTTAATATATAATGTTTAATCCATATATTAAAAATGATCTTCCCAACAATAAATGCAGTGTAAAAAATTCCACTTGTTTTTTATGATCTTCTTTTTATTTGTCAATTACTTAAGATTAATATAAGTTGGTAATAATTAGTCCTCAATAATTTACGATATTCATTCATACCATTCGATTCTCCCTTTCCACGCACTTTCGACAAGTATATATGAATCTCTCAGTAAGTACTGTTGCCAATTTGTTAAATGACGCGCGTAATTCGAGCGAGCTTCTTCGTGATGGAGAAAGTAATTTTGTGATGAGAAGCAATTGCGAGATCTCTCGTTTGGAACTTAAAAAACATTACCAAATAGTTGAGGCATAATTTTGCAAAAAGAATTTATGTCAACATGACACTCGTATGCAATAAATAACAGACACAAAGAAAATGTACATTTTATGAAAAATTCTACGATATTCGAGCTCGGAAAATTCAATATGCGACGTAATCATAAGTACAGATATTGACCGTGACTTGTATAATGTAGTTTCTTCTTGCGTTAAACCGAGCGCGTACGAAACCCACAATAGTTTCAGTCTGTATTATTTATGCGCCTGGGGACAAAGACTGGGAGTGGAAATGGGAGTACGTAATATGCTCTGAATAAGCTCCGATTAAGCTCGCCGTACTCAGCTTTGTCGTTCACACACGCGTCGCACACACCCTGACTAAGTTGCATGCCACTGACACCATCTGACCGCGATCGAAACTTGTCCCCTATCTTTCTCTCTCTCTCTCTCTCTCTCTCTCTCTCTCTCTCTCTCTCTTTCTCTCTTTCTTTCTCTTGTACAATAAAAACTATCACTAACAAGGTATATTGTTCCCGAAACGTGGCAATTCCTGCGATTGAGTAACGTGAGTGAGTGGTCGGCATAGTTCGAGATTGTGTAAAATTATAACGTCACGCGTAAGAAATTGTGAGAAATACGGTTAGCGATTCGAAAATCGAAGAGCTGATTTTCAAAGTGAGTCAGATCTGAATTTTCTAAGAAGTCTATTTTTTGTAATCAAGATTCTGAAATTTATTTTGAGATATTGGGGTACTTCGAAAATAAACTCCTTAATTATACCGGGTACAACAAGAGCTGGAAAGAGAACAGTTTATCACTATAGAACGTTCACCTCGTTTGAGTTATACAGAATGCTCCAAACTTCGTTTTCTCTAATATCTGCAGCAAACTCCTCGGCTAATTCGAATTCACAGTCTCGCGACACGTAGGTGTCCTTGTAGCAACGCGACACGCGACGCTTCGTTCACGTACTCATTAATATAAACTACGAGTCAAAATAGAAAAAGATTCCGCAGGCGCTCGCGCACCTCCCCGAGAGGGATTCTGGTAGCTCGCGTCCTGGAATACCCTGTAAAGAATCGCTTCGCGATTTACACTCGTCGCACGGACGACGGTAATAATTCATTAAGTTCGCCTGGCATAAGTGTTCTGCCGAGTGATAATTGGCCGGGTGGTGGAAAGACTATTCTGAATGGAATTCAGTCGGATGACCGAGCTCTGAGGCAGATGGGTGCTGACGCCGTTCTCGTGACGGTTGTGGTCGCCGCTGGCGCACATCGCCAAGGCACCGCCGTCGTTCCTCGTCCCCCTACAGTGCAGCAACTCGCGCATACCCTTGCGAAAGTTGCGCGACAGGAAGGCGTACAGCAACGGATTCAGGCAGGAGTTCATGTACGAGATGAGGAAAGTCGACACGGTCAGCAGAGTGCTGAAGTCCGACGTGTGATCGTAGCTCGAGCCCCAGTGTCGCCAGAGAATGCGCGCCTGCTGAGGCAGGTTGCACACGGCGAACATCATCACCACTGCGATCAACATTCTGGAAAACAGTGGCGAGACGTTGGCTACCATACTTAAGCGCCATTCTGACGAATTAAGGAGCTCTGACATGTCCTTGATGTCGGATAACGATAAGGGATCATGGATATGTTCGTTGGCGATGTATCGCGATCCTTTTGGAAATTTTTTTTAAAATTATTTCGAAGAGACTAAGTACATAATATTAAAAAAAATGCAATTTTCACTTTTAAAAAATAATTAAAAATTGATTTCTATTATTTGGCTTAGTTTTCGGCGAACATGTTACGTATAGTTAAATTAAACTGTATTATTAAATGACGAAACGGATTATATAACGTCCGTTGATTGAATATATAACGAGCATTGATATTTGCCAATCAATGAATTATTCGCTTATATTTATAATTAAAATGCACAGCATTTAACAAAATTATTATTTAACTATTTCATCAATATCGGATTGATGGCAATATATCGTTGAATTTCTGAACGCAACTCGTTCCAACGGACATAGGTTTTAGTGAGTTTCAGAAATCAAAGGCGTTATTATGTAACGCATCCTGGAAATAGACATACCTGATAACGCCGCGTCGCGCCTTCAGTACGTTTTTGGACATACTGGACGTGTGCACGTGATGGTGTACTCTACCATTTTTGGTCTTGGCGACCAGACCGGGTCCTCCGAGGGTTACGCTGCTCCTCCAGAGGCCTATGGCGATCCTGGTGTAGAGGCAGCACATGAGGAAGAGCGGTAGGAGGTAGAGGAAAACGAGATTCACCACGTCCAGAACGTTATTATTGTGCTTCTTGATATTGGCTATGCAGATGATGTCGACGTCGCCGTTGTTGAGACGATTGCTGATGGTCTCAACGTAGAAAAATCTGGGCGACGCGTACACGGCCGCCAGGATCCATACTATACCGATCACTATCCTGAGGCGTTTCCTGGTCAGCATCGACCGACACTTGATGGGATGAACAATGGCCAGGTAACGTTCAGTACACACTACTACAAGGATTAGTATACTGGCGGTGTACGAGAGCGCGTGCACGAACATGTACACCTTGCAGAGAAAATCGCCCAGCTGCCAGCTATTCATCAAGTAGTTGGTGAGCGTTTGATAGACGCAAAATATGCCAACGCAAAAGTCCGCCACCGCCAGGTTTGCCAGAAAGAAATTTGTGATGCTGCGCAATCGACGGGAGAACGTCACCACGAAAATTACCATCAAGTTTCCTGGAACATAGAAATATTCAAGTGCCACGTTATTAAAGACATACATATCAGTAGCGAAAAAAATATAAAAAAAACACCATATACTATTAAATAATATCTATCGTTTTTTTATAATCCTCTTCTAATCTTGATAAAAAATGGAGTTTAAATTAATTAAAAAATCATTTAATAAAATATCTATGAGTACTGTATGTATTATTAATAGTGTCTATAACATAAAAAAAGTAAAAAAATAGTAAATTTGTATAAAGCTTTCGCCTGATTAATATTAATATTAATATTAGATTTTTATTTATAACTTTTTTGTAAATCTTGATCAGCAGAAGAAATTTTATAAATGCTCGATATTATCTTAAGTCATGTTGTGAGATTTTATCTATTCTTATTTATTTTTGTTAATCAAAGCACCATTTCATCTAACAATAAAGATGATCTACGATTCAATAGACATGCTTTGTTATCTTATCGTGATAAATCTGGATTATGTTGGAATAAGTAGCTTTGGTAGACAGAGAATACTATCAATCAATAATCCATACAACGAAATTTGTTGGCAATGTACCAGAAACGGTTTTAATATACGAGACTGGTTATTGAGAAACCGATGTCCTAAATAATTTTGCATCATTCATTATTAATTTTTTGGCTGCTGCATTGAATTGATATATGTTTTTCTATATGGTCTTTTTTAAACATATATATCATAATCCTGCTTCGATGTGATCTCATTTTAACGTATTTTCTGTAAACGACTTACGCACGATATTAATCAACAAATTATGCGGCTAAATTGAGATTGAAGTATAGTAAAACAATCTCCAATAATCCATTATCGCTTAATTTTAGAATCTTAATAACTTCGAGTTAATGGATCATTAAGCGACCATGAGAAAAGATATAATAACGCAATAATACTATTAAGCGGAAGTATTACGCTTCAACGCTGCATCAGTGCATCCCCGTAAGTGCTTTCATGATGCGTACTATCCACATATACATATAATTTATTGATAAGATTTATCAGCTCTCACACACATGGTACGAGGTATGTATATTGAGTATGGAAAATGTCATTATTAGAAATAAAGTGTATTGGGTACGAGAAAAAATGATATAATTTTAAAATGAAATATCTCTTGGTAACTTTACGTCAATTTAAGATTTTGTTATGACATTTATCTGAAGTAAACTTTGTTAAAAATTGTAATTTGTTATTAAAAAATAATTGTTAATTAAGCTTTCTTAATTAAAAAGATTAAGATTTTACTTCACTTTTTTTAATTCATCACAGCTCGAAAGCGATTTATGCTGGATATTTTTATTTGATCAGTCCTTGACAAGAGGTATTATCTTTGCACCAATTGTCTATTCAGCGTGGATATCTCTTTCTCTCTCTGTTTTCTAACTTTACTTTTTAGCTTATATATACTATTTTACAGTATATTTGGGTCAATTTCTTTTATGTTCTTTTATATTTGTATTATATTAGATTTCGCTGCGAGAGAGCGATGACAATGACTGCTGCTTCTCATTCCTTCGCAAATTTCTTCACGGAATGTCACCCTTTGTTCTTCGTTTCCGCACTTGAGGCCGTTGCCAAAAGCAAACGTATACGACGTTGTTCCGGTTAAAGAAGCGCACGTCACGAAGGCTGCATGAAATGCAGAAAATGAGATGGCACGGGTTGAGACGGAAGCCTGCTTTTATATGCCTATCACGAACGCTCTACCTTAATATTCTCTAAAGAAAAGAAAGAGCGAAAGCAAAACATTGATAATAAAATTTATCGCAATCGCATTGTAGTGAATTAAAAAGTTTGTCTTTTCTTTGTCTCGCCTGCGAAATAATTCGCACGTCAATATACTTTGCGCGCGAATGACGGATGTTTGGAACTCCGTTTCTTAAGTCGTAATAAGGAACATGATCAGTACAAAATTTCCTTTTTCAAAAAAGTAAAAAAAAAACTCCGCGCGTACTTGGCGCGAAACACTACCGTGCCTCTTGATAAGATGATAATGGCGGTCTGCCAGCTCGAGTTCGAGGAAGCTAAGAGGCCGCAGTCTCATAGCTCATTATGGAGAGGCGAAGGAACGAATAACCGGAGTGAAAAGTTTCGGCGATCTCTGGAAGTTGAAAATTATATAACGGTCGCGACGAAAGGGACTTCAGCTTCCATATTTCTCGTCCTCCTTCTCTCTTCCTGCTACAATCGCTTTAATCCCTCTTATTTTCTTTCCAAAGATTCTTTCGTGAAATTCCACTCGTAAAATAAAAGAGCATAAGACAGCGAGGTATCTGCGACTAATGATCGGAAGATTTAAGATGTTGTTCGCAATTATATCCAATTATATCCAATTATATCGCTTCCACGCAGCAGTTGGAAGCGATCCACGGCGATAGATTAACACAAATCGAACGTGAGTTTTCTCCGGATCGTAAATCGAATCGCGCGGGAATTCGCGTCTTACGCCCGCGATTAATTATATCTTATCGATAACTAGTCATTTGTATCCGAATATTTTAATTTCAAATATAAACCGGATTTATTGTCGTTTAACACACATACACGCGCGCGCGCGCGCACATACATTGCGGTCGCTCGAATTTATTGACACATTATCAATATAACAATCGGCGTGAGCTGAGAACGGAAATACAAATGTTTTTCCTTTCGCCTATACTTAATTAATATTACTTGAAATTATTACTTGAAAATATTACTTGAAAATATATGTAATTTATATTTTATATAACATATATGTTAGGAAAAAGCTCGCAGATCACAAAAGATTTATCGTTTAAAGAGTTAAAAATGTTCGTCGATAAACGGTGATCACGTTGAGAATGACGGATCATCTCTATGATCACATTTTACTCACGAGATTTTTATGAATGACGCTCATAAACCGCGCTTCACGCTGAAAAATTAATACCGAGCATTTTTCCTTCAAGCTTGATGAACAAATTTAATTTTACGACGATCTTGAAGATGGACTCGACTACTGACTTTCATTGCTCTGTCAATTTTGCTTTTTTTATCATATTTTATCATATAAGACCTGTAATTTTATTCTGACGTAAGATCTATAGTCAATGGCTCCTCGTGAAAAACACTTTCTTTGTTAGATTCCTCTCATTATTGCGGTCGGCGAAGACGCATTGATCCGGATTAAGGAGTAATTATAAAAATCTTAGTCGCGATTCATTGAGATTCATTCTTTCATTTGGAGTGTCCTCGATTCATTGAATTGTCCTTTAAAGGCAAATTCTTTGATTTACTCGAGACTGATATTTTATTGAAAGTATGACGACAGTTTATTCCTATTAAATATGATCAAAGTTAATTTTTCTTAAAAGAAAAGTTTTAAAATATGCATAATTTTCCAGTTTTGTCGCGAAAGCTTTTAAATTATAATTTTCCAAATTGCTTTGAAAAATAAGGTACGCTCCGTGGATAGACGTCATGTTTGTCTAACGTGTTCCGAGTCACATTAGTGCGATGTCACGTCTCTGAAAATCTACGGACCAATAGCGCAGGTCGGCGAAATTAATTACGTAAAGGAAGAGAAGCGAGAATTTTGTTCTGCAAAAAATCCGCTTCGTATATGCAAAGGGATTGAAGTGGCGCGTTTGGAAATTAATCTTTAAATACGTGGCTTAGCGCAGCGCCCTTTGAATATAAGAGTGCAATTATATCCCTCTAAATTTGCATCTAAAAGACAGGAGAAGATCCTTTGATTGAAAAATTATTTCAATATATTTACGCTATCTCGAAAGATAAGCTTTATAATTACAGTCTCACAGCAAGATTCGCGAAATAATCTTTTGACGATCTATAATAAATCGACGTTACAACAAAATTAAGAAAAGTATCAATTTCCAGTATTAATTTCTTAATGGGGGGGGGGGGGAAGGGATTTGTGATAGACACTGACGCAATAGATCGAAAATACCGTGTACAGGCTCGATACGGATGATATAGAAAATATCGAGACTACAAACTTAATAAAGGACATTTTACAGCAGCACGTTCTTCCGCAATATGTACTTGTCGGCGATATTCTCGTGTCGGACAGAGTCGACTGGCTGACTATCAGAAGTAAGGACCTAAGATGACGTCAAGCAAGGGAAATTAATCGACCTCCAAGTATGCTCAGGCTACAAGGAGAGCCAATTCAAGGCTGATATTATGCGGATCTGAAAGGGGTTGTTTGGACAAGTCCGTGCATGAAATTTGAATCGTCGCGAGAGCTGGCGAGAGCCAAGATGTAATTCGGAATCGTTGATGATGTGGAAAATCTGGACAATACGTTTGTAATCACGAGATAAAGAAATTCTTTATGTGAGGTAGAAACACATTTAAGAAGTACCCGTAAATTGTATGATTTAAAATTATACTAGTATAAAGTACGCCAGTTAAGTTTTCAACGTACTTGATGTTGTATTATTCTTCTTCACAATTTCTTAATTTTCAATGTTAAATGTTGTAACAGCCAAATTTCAAATTAAAGCTCTGTCGAAGCTCTGTTTAACATCAAATTAAAATAAAAAAAATAAGGTGTTATTTGCTTATACTTTGTTAATTAATAAAAAGACTCAATTTACAAAAATCTTTCATCTTCAATTGCTCATAATTATATCTAATTTCATTATGTGGATTAAAAATAGAAAATGTTGCAACGAATGTGCTACATCGAAAATTAAGAACACTATATAAATTTTCTGATGGAACTTTTCGTGGAAATTATACATCACTCAGTTAGTCTCGTTAAGATATTTTTTTCTCATTGTAATTACGCAACATGACTGCCGCTATGTAGCGAATTAATATTGCGCGACTCCGCAACTTACGTTGTAATTTATTGGCACTACGTAACAAAGAGTTTCAGAGTTTTTGTCTTTCGGTGGTCAATCTGTTTTATTCAGTTTACTTTCGTCGACGTTTTTAAACTTCTACCTCCATACTTTCGTGAATTAAAAAAAAAATGATAAAGTGTTTCCGAAAT